GCATAATTTACACAAAGGCTGTAAAAAAAAACAGCGACAACAATCTCATACATATAAACCACGCATGGTTCACCTACACAAAATATTGAATAGTAGAGCATAGAGATTATCTGGCTTGAGATAGTGTTAGATCACTAAAAATCTATACCCATCATTCATCATGGATTCTCCTTCAATTATCGTACTCAATTTTTTGCTAGCACCAAGCTCTTTTAACAGAGCAATAACAGCCACAGGATCAGTGGCGCTAAGAAGCCCCCCAAGGAGCAGTGATGTTTTCCAACTCCAGTCATAAGGGAAAGTGAGCTGCAGTTGTATATGACAATATAATTATATAACTCAAACCTATAGTCTAATTAGCAAAGTTTAGGATACCTTCAAAGCAGATCCAAGGACAAAGGTTGATATTAGAACACCCGGACCAGCTAGTATCATCATTTGTACCATACACCTCTGCACGAAAAATGGAAATTTTTTCCGGTTCATTTCATATCTGAGACAATTTCAAGTCAACCAGTGACTTTGCAGAAAGCTACAGGTTAGAATTGCACCAAAATAAAGTTTGTTGGTCTTATTGCGCTATAAATGTTTCAGAGCTTTCATGATTGTGAATAAGCAGAACAACAGCATGGTAAAAGAAGAACAAAATTAAAAACAATACAAACTCAAATTTTGAAAAATGCACAATGACAATATGTGAGGAAGAAAAGTGACCTTTATTTGGTGCACCTCCATAGAAAACGAACTCTCGAAAAGAAGGGCAGGCAGAAAAACAGCCAATAGAAGGTCAGGATCATATTTGCCCCTGCACCACAGTACAAAGCCCTCCAAGTCAAAAACAACAAGAGGATGCAAAGCCTATAATCGGCGTTGCAATTGCTATTTCAACAAAGATGTAAAGCTTGAACATACAAATTCGAATTCCGTCTCCAATCCTCCCCAGTCGATGATGTGTGCCATATTCTGCATGTTTATCATCCTTTAATTAGCAAATATTAATTAAAACAAACAATTAGCTCCTAATAAAGAAACAAAGCAGAGGCCAGAGAGTATCATCCCACCATCTGAAATGGGATGACCAAGAATCAAGCAGTTCTCCGTCTCATTACAATTTCATGGTTTGCTTAATTATTCCTCCTTATATTCCATTCCTACTTCTCTTCTTAGAAATCTCACTGTTGAGATGCTGCTGCTAATTTTCTTAATCCTTGCCCCCCCAGAAATCAACCAAAAGCCACTGAATTTTGATATATACATATACATATATGTTATATAATCCAAAATTGTAAACAACAAGCTCCTAACTTTCTTTTTTGTTCATTTTAAGAACCAAATCACTGAAACCAGCAAAATTACAAAGTTTGAGAATTTGCTGCAATTAACATAGATTAAACCCAATAATTAAATTATAATAATAAGTAGTAGTAGAAGAAGGAGAAATGGAGGAGAGAGGAAGAGAGAGAAACCTATGGAGCCGAGGCCAATGCCAAGGATGAGCAGAGCGACAGTGTAGGGAACTCTGGTACCATGCAACAGATGCCTGCAGGCGATTCCTATCAGTAAACACATCCCCACGAACGCCACTGCGTTCGTCGGGTCTGACGAACTATCTTCTTCTTCCTCCGCCGCTGTCAATATTCCGTACGGTAACTGCCATGCCGTCACTGTCGCCATTTCTCCAATCTCAAAAACTCTACTTAATTTCCGCCACAATTTGTATTCCGGTTTCTGTCTTAGCTTAAAAAGCTTTCAGCTTTTGACTTCTGCTTAAGCAATAAGCAGCAGAGATTAATGGTGGAGACTCGCGGGCGGCTTTTGCGGTTGAAATTCGCCCTGGGCAGACTTGGCCATCACGAACAGTCTCCAATATTTTCGTCAAAACATGTCACTTCATCAGCTTCCCCATCAAAGTGACGTTTTCTATGAGCAGTTACACGCACATGCATTTTAGAGTTCGACACTCAGACAGCCGAACATCATGTTCATCATGACACTCATATCGTTCGAGGATCTTTAGCCATATACTGATTCAGCGCAGTTAGGGTTAGATTGAGATTGTGGTGTTTTAAAAAAACAGCATATTAAAAAATCTGGAACATTAATGTATTTGGTAAAACAAAAAAAAAAAACACTTTTCTACTGTCATTAACAATAGTTAACACTTTTTTTTTAAACTGCTGTCAAAAGCATAGAAACGCAGAAGCAGAGTTTACCATATTTCTAAAAAAGCGTTTGTTTTCTCAAAGCATTGTAATTAGTGTTCATTTAATGAAAATTTCAAATCATAAATATATTCCCACATATTTTACAAAATTACAATCTCATCCCATCAGTATTGCTAGCTTATTGTGAGGTTTAGCTCACTCTTCTGCACCCCACCCTTTTGATAATATTATTTGTTAAAAAAAAATATTGAGTTTGGAAGACAAGGTCTCTCGATCTTCCACAGAAGTATGATATGATGGATCAATTGGTTGGCATTCCTTTTTTGAAGTTTAAATCCTTTTAACTTCGTATTTATTATTGATTATATATGGTATTGAAATCCACATATAAATATTGACGGGTTAGATGGAGAACTTTTCACACGTAATCAGTTGGCTTAGCGATGTTTAACTTTTACTTAACTTGAGAAGGTATTAAGCTCTTTTTTAGATTCCCATATCTTTCAATCACTTGTCATTTCCTATTTTGTCTCAACCAGTTGCCTTACTTCAATAGCATGTGTCTGAGAGGAGAACAATGACATGTGTGCTCAATGTTTGTAATTAGAATCACTTACACAACACATACAAAACTACGTTACGTGTTTCCTATTTTATCAGCACAAGACAACCGTGACAAATGTACCTAGCGGTCTTATACAAATCCTTGTCGTGTATTAGATGTTTAGTCCTTCGATTGAACCCAACGTAAATGCAAAAACAAACATGCATGCAAAAGGACTGAACGGGCCGAATGATGAGTGGGCCCCACCCATTTAGAGGTCCAGCAGATCACGTGTTGCAAATTGGAAGTCACAGGGACGTTGGCAAACTTAAGACTTTGGGGTACAGTAACTTGGATTTGAGAAGATTTTACTAGATTTTAGTAAGTAATCGATTTCATAAGATTATATAGATTTCTACATAATTTATATAAATTTTGGAAGATTTAGTAGCGTTGAATCTTAACCGTTAAATAAATCAAATAATGATAAATGCATCTAGGTCATAAATCTAATCAAATGAAGTTATTCATGATTTGGAACTGCATTCCTTGAAGCTGAAAAAATGTCAAGATGATCACATTAACCCAACTCCTCAAAGACCACCAGTGCACCCCTTTCCAATCTACTTCCTCACTTTATTCTTATCCCTTTTGTTGTCACCTCCATGTATTCAAGTATGGTCCGAAGAATCTCGGTAGTAGTTCCATGAACAATCCTTTGCAGGATTGGATTTTTTTTTATAGTGGAAATGCCATAAAGCGCGAACCAAGGTCCGTGATACGAAAACCAAAATCAGAATGAGGAAGAAAAAGATATTGTGATATAAGTGCATTATTCCTTGCATGAGCACATTCTATTTGAGAATAGTTAGTAAAACTAATTCGAGTAAGCAAGTCCAGTGCTATCGATTACAAGTGCCTCTTTCGCCATCATCTATGATACTTGTTCATAGCAAGCCTGAACAGCCTTACTGTCTCAACCCTGACTGACTGATGACTAGCTTTTACTTGATAGTAAGTGCTTGATATCCAGGAGTACTTTTAATATTTATGAATGAAACGAATTCATTCATGTCACAAAAAAACAAGCGTAAATTAAGAAGCAGACATGCTCTCAGCAATCAGCAGGAGGGCCTAGCAACGATGAAAAAATTGCAGGTATGAAGAAAAAATTGCGACCTCGCAACAAAAAATTGAAGTAAAAATTTAAAGGGGAATTAGTCCTCCTTCTTCTCCAGCTTGTCGCTCGGACTCGGACTCCGAGTTGTTAAGACTCGGGGAGGCTCTGAGCGAGCTGGGGACTTGGCGACAGTGTGTCAGTGGTGGTGGTGTTTTAATGGATCAACCGCTGCACTCGACGCCGGTGACTGCGTCTGAGGTTTCTGTTGTCGTCGATTCTGCCGCCAATGGTCATCGTCTCAATCAGCCTCGCATTATGGACGGCTCTATTATGTAGACAACAATAAGGTGGGAATAAATATATACGTTTAAGATAACCTATATATGCGTTTGTCTATATATATCTCGACACCCTTTTTCTCAGGCGTTGTTGTGAATCTAGTCATGCTCATCACCACAATATTACTGACACTGGTAATGATCATAATATGGAGAACACCACCGGTGCTGGTTGCTCTTCACTTGTGCGTATTCTTTGCGATGGAAAGTGCTTACGTGAGTGCAGTCTTCACGAAGATCGCAGAAGATGGATGGATTCCGTTTGCCATATCCTTTATCCTCGCCTTCGTCTTGTGTGGTTGGTTCAAAGGGTTCCTGGATTGTGCTCCTTGTACATCAACATTTAAGACGGGCTCACACCGATTCTTTGACACCATGATAAAAACATGTAATCCCTTCACCAGGTCACTATGTTAACTACTCTTCGATACCTTTTGGTTCCGGAGGTTGCCCATCATGAGAGGATTGACGTCACAAAACTCGGCCTGAAAGGAGTTTATGGGTGCGTTATTCAGTATGGCTATGCAGATCCCCTAAACCTCGAGGGAGACGATTTTGTTAGTCAAGTTACTAATATCTTGCAGGCACATCTACAGAGCACCTCAGGACGTCTTCCATTTGATCCTTGAGAGGTCCGAGAAGAGAGATCTATTTGGAAGCAGCAAGGAGTGCTGATTGTGAAGTTCAGCAAGTTAACTGTCGGTCTTCCCTGCCTGCTTTCGGGGTGCCTCTGCCTCGGCGTTTCGAGGTTGGAATGCTTTACGAGGTTAAAGAGGAAGGCTAATTTTCAGTCCTCACACGTAGAACGTTGAAAGAAATATTTTTTCTGGATGTGACAAGCAGAAGTTTCATGTACAAGATTGAGCATCTGCCAAATTATTACAGACGTAAGTGTAATTCTTCATCTCAACCCTCCACAGGGGGAACGGGGAGCGAATCGAAATATATGCAAACTTTAATTATTCATTTCTACAATCGATTGATAGTTGATGTCACGTATAAGATCTCTACGATCCAACAAAAAAAAAATTACAGAGACGCTTTGTTTTGATACTTGGAACGATAGTGAATCAAACATTACAATCGTGGTTTTCGGAATCATGAGATAAACATTCAAGGAGCCTGGGGAAAAGAAAGCGTACTTGGGGAATCGATTCTCACAATTACATCATCTTCACCACCCGATTCATCACTCGAATCCTCTACCACATGGCTCTTATTTGGGTCTGTACTTTGCTGCCCTGGAGGATTTGTTTGGCCTGTGAATTTTCTCACTTCAAGGTTCTTTCTCACAGTTGTTGCCCCTTCTGATCTGACTGAAACCAGTGGACGGTGGTGATATGATGGAATATTCTGATATGACACATTGTGTGAACGGCCTTGATATGATGGCATGCTTGGATATGACACGGTGTGTGATGGATTAACCGGACCACTTCTCGGAAAACTTCGAGCACGCCTCCTCAGATTCACATTCACCTTGTTTGCACAACAACATGAGAAAATAAGTTAGCTTGAACCAAAAGATAAAACCACAATCAAATCCCAAGTACTAAAGAACATCAAGAAACTGAGCTTACCAAACTGCCGTAAACGCTTAACTGCATAGCCCTCGCAGACAAGTTGTTGTTTTGTCGGTCAATCCCTTCGGGGTTCTGCTTTTGCTGCTTTGCTTTGAAAACTTGCTCAGGCCAACTCATAAGACCACTATGCTCTCTAGTAAGAGACCTATGAGGATGATCAACTGCATTTGATATAAACGAGGGTGAGCGCCTAATCCGAGCACTGTCAGATTCAAATGCTGCAATGTCGAATATAATCACTCTCGATCTTGTTTCAACAAGATAGTTGGATCCTTTATGAGAAAAACTGGCTACCCTGGTGCCTGTGATCAATTAGCAGCAAAACTGATTAGCATTAACGATGCGGAAGTGGTTTATGCAAAAATGAAACTAGTTCCGACAAGTATCTTTTGAAATAGAAGTTTGATATCACCTGCTGTTTCCAGATTCTGGAAGCTCTGGTTACCATGTGAGGGGAATAGAGGTGCAGGTGATGTGATCAGTTCCTCTTGGACACCTTGTATTTTAACGAAACCCTCTAACAGAAATCCAATGGAACGGTACGGAATTTCAAAAGATTCGCCCCTTAGGTAAATCGTCATCACTGACCTTTCCGCAACAAGAATTCTCAAATCTTGCATTGTCATTTTCTCAAATATTTGTGGAAGGAAAAGTTTCAAAAGAGCAATAGAACTTTCCTAAAAACAAAATGGAATTAAATAAAATCAGTTACATCATTATAAATCCATAATCCTTTCCAAAATTCATATCATCATATTATCTTTTCACTTGCCCGGCATTACAAAGTAGAAATTTTTAGTAAAAGAATACCTGCCAGAGGAAGTCTTCTACTGAGGGATCAGACCGGAGCGAATGTTTCTTATCAATTTCAATGCAAAAGCAGAGAACCACAGAATCGGTGATCATGTCACAAATGTAGGGCTTTCCAGTTAGCACTTCATACAGGCCCAAAGTACTCCCGTGAGTGAAGGTTGGATGCAGCGAGTGCTTGTTTTTTATGCTCTTACTTGTCCACTGCCACAAATAATTCTCATCCATGATATTATCCGTGAGGAAAAACAGAAAATGTCGTAGCATCGAACTTTTAATTACCTTGACTACCCCAGTTGAAAGAAGCCAAATACCAGTAGGCTTGGATCCCTCCCTGTAAAGCGTCACACCACGCAATTTCATTGTTTCCTTGGTAGAGCCTTCAAGTGATTCACGAACTGAAGGCGGAAGGGCCCCCATTAGAGGATTAAGACTAATCAGATCATTTATTTTTGGGATCTTTACTAATGGGGGATTCCTTAGAAGCTTTTTCAAATCAGTCTGCATGAAACCAAAATAACAACAAAATCTATTATCGTCAATGAGTGATTATACGACACAAAAAATCACCAACACGCACCTGGACTGCGTCATGAAGATGAAGCATCTCCTTTTCTTCCAATATGCCAACCTTCTCTAGGTTTTGGAGATATTCAATTAAATGGTTTAGAACTGAGAATGTTACTTGTCTTGTTTTTACAACACGCAGAACCTGAGGAAATGTGACACGAACATCTTCCAGAAACTTTTTTGCTTCTTCTCCTTCTGCCTCACTTTCATTAATGACGACAGAAGCAACTTCACTATCACCTGAATAAATAAGCACATGAAGAACAATTACATATTTTTCAAAATATAGGGCTACTACAATAAGATAATAACCAAAACAATTTCCATTCTTATGTTACAACAACAATCACAAAAGGTATTAACTAACCTATAAAATCATGAAGTTGCTGCCTTGCAATTCTATGGGCACGGAGAAAGGAAGCACAAATGTAACATGCAGATTCCAGCCTTTCCACGGTGAAATAGGTTACCAATTTCTGAGGGAAAACGCTAGTTTGAAGGAACTTGTAGTAATTTGGGAAATGAACATGAGCTTTTAAACCATTCCAGTCACATAAAGGCTCACGTGAAACCAAGTCAATCGCTTCATCTACTGATTGCATCAAAATATTTGCAGAAGATTGTGTAATCCTTCCCTCATCAAGCATGTTCCAGTAAGCAGCTTGGACTCCTGATTTAAAATGGTTTTTTTGTATTAGCAAATGAGGCCACAGTTTAACTTTCACACCAGTATCTTTAAGCATTTTAGTTTTACGTTTCAGAAATATGCAACGTAACAAATGCCTAAGCTTAAGTTACTGGGACTGAAATATAAACACTGCTAAATTTACCATTCAAAAGACGTTCACGTATGTCCTTCAAATGTGTAACGTGCGGATTATTACTATTTTCACTTTCTGATGCATCGTGAGGGTGTACAGGTTCGGTATCAACATCATTTAAGCTTGCAATATATCTTTTCACAGTGAGCCAGTCAGCAGGTCCCAACTCCTCATCATCTCCAAGATCACCAAAAGCCTCTAATGCTTTGTTCAACATTTCATATTTTGTGTACTCCAGCACGCGCCTCTGTAACAAACAAAGATATAGATATAAACCAAATGCATACAACAACAACAACAACAACAACAAAGCTTTTCCCACTAAGTGGGGTTCAGCTGTATGAATCCTAGAACGCTATTGCGCTCGGTTCTGTGCCACGTATTCCGTTAGATCCAAATACTCTAAGTCTTTTGTTAGAGTCTCTTCCAAAGTCTTCCTAGGTCTTCCTTTAACCTTTCAGCCCTGAACTTGTATCCCGTAATCCCATCTTCTTACCGCAGCGTCAATGGACCTTTGTTTCACATGTCCAAACCACCGTAATCGATTTTCTCTCATCTTTCCTTCAATTTCGGCTACGCCTACTTTACCTCGGATATCTTCATTCTTAATCTTATCCTTTCTTGTGTGCCCACACATTCTAAACCAAATGCATACACGGAAGAAAATTCTCATAACGAGTGCCCGAGCATAGACCTCCTCTAACTAATCTCGACAATTATTATTTGCGTTCAAATGGATTAATAGCTGTATGAAATGTTGAGGAATTACTTAAAATTATAATCCTGAAACAAAGAAAGGGAAACGTAAAGCAGTAACACTAGGTCTACAAGGACAATGCAGTTGTATATTTTGAAGGACAGTTAAACCTCACCTTAGCTGCTGATAGCTTGTCCAGATCTAGAAGGCGTAAAATGAATTGTGTGGTGGAACCGTTCACAACTAGTGTCAAGAAGACAATTCCGCCAGTGAAGAAAACAAACTGCAAAGGTTTAAACAGATTGCTTAAATAAGTATCTCAAGCGGTGTCCAAAAATAAATTAATTAGTCTGTTTGCAAATCTAGCACACTATACAATGAAACAGAAGAAAGCGTGCGCTCATGCTTCAGATACGTACAAGGACTCCTGTGTCAGAAGTGATAAGTGAAGAGCTGTCACTAGTTTGCTACAAGAATAAAGGTAAATCAATTAGAAGCCATAAAAATCATGGGTATTCAGAAGGAAAAAAAAATAAAAGGAAAATACTATGAAATGAATATGCTATGAGCACAAACAAGCGATATGAACGTAAAACTTTCAAAGGTTTTTTTGGTGGGGGGTGGGGTGGGGGGAATATCTTTTCAAATGTAAGATGCTTCCCTTTGTCAGATTATGCACTAAAAACTACTTGCATGTAGACTACAATAATCACTTTTGACACAGCAAACAGTTAGATTTGTGAGTGAAACATTTCCTTCACAAACTCAAAAAATGGAGGTTTAGCAGGTGGTTTATTGAGAACGGAAAAGTTTATGATGCACCGTCCAACTTCAAAAGGAAAAAGTTATGAAATTAACAAACAGTAGAGATTGAATTTTAACCACAAGGTATAAAAGTTAAATTTTGCTTTGCATAAACAACAGTTTGTAATTAACAACTTGCCTTCACTGACAGTGAAAGTGACAATGCTACAGCCCCTCGCAGACCTGACCATATAAGGATTATAGCCTCTTTCCAGTCCAAACCATATCCAAAATACCGGAGAAGGGGAAATGAAACCGCAACAACTATGAACCGGGAAACTTGTACATAAACATAGAGAAGAATGAGGTACGACCAAGATTTTCCTGAAACAAAAAGAATTAGAGTTGCAAAGAGTTAGATAGAACCAGTCATAAAAGAACTAACAGATCAACAACAACAAAGTCTTATCCCACTAAATGAGGTCGGCTATATGAACCCTAAAACGCCATTGCGCTCGGTTCTGTGTCATATCCTCCGTTAGATCCAAGTACTCTAAGTCTTTTCTTATAGTCTCTTTCAAAGTCTTCCTCTACCCCTTCGGCCCTGGACCTTTGTCCCGTAGTCGCATCTTCTAACCAGAGTGTCAGTAGGCCTTCGTTGCACATGTTCAAACCACCAGTAACTAATTTTCTCTCATATTTCCTTCAATTTCGGCTACTTCTACTTTACCTCGGATATCCCCATTCCTAATCTTATCCTTTCTTGCGTGCCCACACATCCAATGAAGCATCCTCATCTCTGCTACACCCATTTTATGTACGTGTTGATGCTTAACTGTCCAACATTCCGTGCCATACAGCATCGCCGGCCTTATTGTTTTCCCATAAAATTTTCCCTTGAGCTTCAGTGGCATACGACAGGTCACACAACACGCCGGATGCACTCTTCCACTTCATTCATCCAGCTTGTATTCTATGGTTGAGGTCTCCATCTAATTGTCCATTCTTTTGCAAGATAGATTGTAGGTAGCGAACGCGGTCGCTCCTTGGTACTTCCTGGTCTCTGATCCTCACCCCTAACTCATTTGGGCCTCCATTTGCATTGAACTTGCACTACATATAAAATAACTAACAGATAATCCACTAAAATGTTAACCACCCAAAAGATAGTTTTCGTTTTCTTCTTTCATTCTTCATTCATAATGTATGTAATCTATATTTAACGATAAGAACATAGTAATCGGCAAACAAAGTTGAAAAATTATCTGTAAGAACATATTACAAGAAAAATAAATATTTCGAAGGTAAATCCACAAAGTTAAGGAGCTACTTATGCAGAATGTCAAAGATATACGGTGGGAAACAACAAAAATATGCAACAGTGCTAAGATCTATGGTTCGGCCTTTGTACTTTGGAAGAGTCCACACCTGATCTGCCTGTGTATGTGTGTGCGTGTGCTCAGTTATGACCAAGCGAGTACATATATTTATGAATGCAAAAATGAGTACATAAATGCATATCTCCATGTTTGAAAACTAAGGATTACCGTGATTAAAAATATTTTCACCACTAAGAACGCCTTCAGCAATAACAACTCCACTGAAAAGAAAAACAGAAAATATGTGTTTTGTTTTCCATTTTGTTATTGTCACAAAACAAAATACAACTAAAGAGTGTTGGATTATGCACTTACCTCAAGATGAAAACTAAGGTATTAGCAATATAAGCAACCATTTCCCTGTGCAAGATGCATAGAGTACGAGCAATTAAAATTTCATGAAGAGTAGATTCAAGAGAGATTTTTTTTATCAAACTATTCACACATTTGCTGTATCTTTATGTTTTAGAGATTATTAACTATATGATGAATTTACTCATGAATTGGACCTTTGTTTAATCAAACAGCCAGCCTTAGTTTAAAGTGATAACTACAACCACACGATATACCAGAAATGATGTAAACTTTGTTGGCTTTCACCCTTAAAAGCTGTCCTTGCAACTGCAGCATAAAACCTGTCCACAGATTAAAACATTAGGATAAAGGGAAAACTAATGAAAAGGGCTTGAAAACTTTGAGTTTTAACGAAAATGATAAAATAAAGGGTAAAGTGAATAGTACCAGAATTGATTTTTTAGTGTAAAAATATGGTTTTTAGTTAAAGTAAACAGTACTGAGAGCTTTTCGTTAAAGTTCCCTAGGATAAACGTATTCTGCAGTGAGAAATGACATGTTATCGGGAAATTCAGCTTACATTCCTAAAGTCATCACCGTCAAGACACCAGACACGTCTGCACCCTCTTGAGCCTGTGGCACCCGAATAAAATATCTCAGTTTTTTCATACACAAAACAGGCAACTAATGATCACATGTTTTTCCAGATAAGTGAAATGCATTATAATATGTTAAATGGAATACATCAACCTTCTTTACGCTAGTAGAAACCATAAGAGACATAGTTTATTGTTAACAATCCTTGATTATTTTTTGGGAAAAAAGAGACATCAAAAGAATATTTTACATAAATTTGGAAAGGATCATACATGCAAGCAGCCAACTTCCCAGTCACATGTAAAAGTAATTGCAGAACTATCTATAGCAGTTCTATGACAGGTTTCAGTCTTAAGAATTTTGCACCAATTCATACATATCTATTGACATGACAACAAGCAATTTGGAATAATAATCATATGATGAAGCATCCAATTTTGGAAAGGAACATACAGTGAAGTAAGCAACATAGCTGACAGCAAGTGTTAGTGTGATCTCTATCACGGTGTCGTTGAAAATGAAGCCGAGCCAAAGTACAGATACTATGCCAAAAGCAAGACCAATGCCTACACTGGAACGATAAAAGAGTTAACATGTGAAACAAATCTGCCATCTCTACTCAAAGAAATATGTAAGACATACGCTCCAAATGTAACTTGAGATAGAAATTTAATTATGGCGGCCCAGTCATAGCTCTTTCCAAGGACCATTTGATAAAATAGCTGATACACCACAATTGCTGTCCTGGACGAAATTAAACACATTCAGATAAGAGAAAATACGAAAGGCATAATTTACACAAATGTTGTAAAAAACAACAGCACAACAATTCATACATATGAACCACCCATGGTTCACCTACACTAAATATTGGATAGTAGAGAATGGATTATCTAACTTGAGATAGTGTTAGGTCACTAAAAATCTATACCCGTCATTCATCAAGGATTCTCCTTCAATTATTGTACTCAATTTTTTGCTAGCACCAAGCTCTTTTAACAGAGCAACAACAGCCACGGGATCAGTAGCGCTAAGAAGCCCCCCAAGCAACAGTGATGTTTTCCAACTCCAGTCATAAGGAAAAGTGAGCTGCAGTTGAATATGACAATATAATTATATAACTCCAACATATAGTCTAATTAGCAAAGCTTAGGATACCTTCAAAGCAGATCCAAGGACAAAGGTTGATATTAGAACACCCGGACCAGCTAGTATGAGCATTTGTACCATACACCTCTGCACGAAAAATAGAAAATTTTGCCGGTTCATTTCATATCCGGGACAATTTCATGTCAACCAGTGACTTTGCAGAAAGCTACAGGTTAGAATTGCACCAAAGTAAAGTTTGCTGGTCTTATTGCTGTATATATGTTTCATACTTTCCAGGATTGTGAATATGCAGAACAACAGCATGGTAAAGGAAGAACAAAATTAAAAACTATATAAACTCAAATTTTTTAAACTGCACAATGAGAATATGTGAGGAAGAAAAGTGACCTTTATTTGGTGCACCTCCATAGAAAATGAACTCTCAAAAAGAAGGGCAGGCAGAAAAACAGCCAATAGAAGTGTAGGATCAATATTTGCCCCTGCACCACAGTAGAAAGCCCTCCAAGTCAAAACACCACAAGGATCCAAAGCCTATAATCGGCATTGCAATTGCTATGTCAGCAAAGATGTAAAGCTGGAACTTACAAATTCGAATTCCGTCTCCAATCCTCCCCATTTGATGATGTGTGCCATATTCTACATGTTTATCAACCTTTAATTAGCAAATATTAATTAAAACAAACAACTAACTCCTAACAAAGACATAAAGCAGAGGCCAGAGAGTATCATATCATCCCACCATCTGAAATTGTGTCTCACTACAATTTCATGGTTGTTGTTCATTTATTCCTCCTTATATTGCGTTCCTATTTCTATTCTTAGAAATCTCACTGTCGAGATGCTGCTGCTGATTTTTTTAATCCTTGCCCCCATAAATCACCCTAAAACCACTGAATTTTGATATATAAACATAAGGAACAGATCCGTGGCACCACTCTTTTTACATAACCTTTAACGCACGTTTTTGTGGGGCCCACTTCATAATATATTTTAACAATCCGAACAATCTATCATTTAGGTATTCCCTCAAAGATCATGTCTACCAAAAAATCACCAAAATCTAAAACCATCTAACCGTTGGATTAAAAAGTTTAGGGTATCTTTGTAGAATCGTATTCGTCCATTTTCTTCACTACAAATTAATGTTTTAGTGGTTTTTGCGAAAATGATCCATGAACGATGTTCTAAAGATAGAACATTACAATGAACTCCACATGTGTCAGAAATTGTGTAGACACAATCCTGCCACGGATCCACCATATATATTCATATAAACAAGCTCCTAACTTTTTTTTGTTCATTTTTAAGATTCAAATCACTGAAATCAGCAAAAATACGAAGTTTGATAACTAGCTGCAGTTAATATTATATGAAACCCAATCATTAAAATAATAATAATAATAACAACAAGAAGAATAAATGGAGGAGAGTGAGACAGAGACCTATGGAGCCGAGGCCAATGCCAAGGATGAGCAGAGCGACAGTGTAGGGAACTCTGGTACCACGCAATAGATGCCTGCTGGCGATTCCTAACACCAAACACAAACCCACGAACGCCACCGCGTTCGTCGGGTCCGACGAGCTATCTTCTTCTTCCTCCACCGCCAAGATTCTGTACGGTAACTGCCATGCCGTCACCGTCGCCATTTCTCCAATCTCAAAAGCTCTACTTAATATCCACCAAAATTTGACTTCCTGTTTCAGTCCCAGCTTAAAAAGCTTAAAGCTTTCAGCTTTTGACTTCTGATTAAGCAATAAGCAGCAGCATACTAGTGGTGGAGACTCACGAGCGGCTTTTGCTGTTGAAAAAAAACAGTTGCGCGCTTTATATACTTTGAGAAGATGATTGAAGCTGAATGACACGATCACTGTCGGTCACGTTTCGTTCTGTCACGGACAAGTAATGCCTGGCGATTTTGCTCTTGGACGTAAGCGCCGATTTGTCAAATAATCGCCTCACCGAACGACTGGAAATACCTCGGACTGATGATTTTTTACGGTGGATATTCATTAACGATGAATTCAGAGTAACTACTATTTTATTTTTTTTTATTTTTCTATGTTTATCTACAGAGCACAGATCTTGACTAAACAATTTCTTAGTCGTTATTTTCACCAAGTTGTCGCCTATGCAACATTTTAATCGGAAATTCCGTACTGTCCGCGTTTATTTTATATAAAAAAATTATACGTTGTTCCGATGCATTTTACATCAATATCTTAACGATTCGATCTTGAATAAGAATCTAAGAGTTGAATATCTCGGAATATAAAGTTGTACAAACACATAACCAAAATATTCTAGTTTTAGATGATAGCCCAAAATATAGGGTAAGAGGGTATCAGAAAAGCATTTGATTCAACATAGCTTACATGTATTTGTCAAACTTAACTTATGCAGCTCAAAAAATTATGTACTATTACTCGTTTGGAAGTACTTTTAAAATAACTGAAAGCGTTTATTGTAAAAAAAATTTGAAATCCAAAAAAGTTTTTAAGTCATTTTAAAATTCTTTCAAATGAATCATATATTTGCCCTTTGCTGCCTAATTTTCTATGGTAATCAAAGCCACATTATTATTTTTGAACAAACGATATTATTTACACTAAGGGGAAAGTGATGAGCTTAGATTCAGAATGGGCTAGCAATAATATGGTTCAAATACACATTTGGCAATAATCAAACCTAAAACCTCTTACTTTCAAACTATAACCGTAGTATCAAGTGACAAATCTACTATATTATTATTATCTACAATTATTTGTACTTTGTAACAAGACTCCAAATGTGTCAATAGCACGCTGCTCAATAGTTTGGTGATCTGGACTCCTCGCTTTTTTACAAAGAACAGAAAGACAAATAAAAAATTGGAAGAAGATGAATAGAATTGACAAATTGTTTGGATCTACTCGACGTAAGCAGTAGGCGTTATCTGTTAATTTTCTTTTGCATCAGATGTGGGGATTTGATTAGGCTTCATTTTAAAGGAAAACTAATGAAAATGGTTTGAAAACTTTGAGTTTTAACGATAAGAACAAAATAAAGGGTAAAATGAATAGTACCATAATTGATTTTTTTAGTGTAAAAATATGGTTTTTCGTTAAAATAAATAGTACCAAAAGCTTTTCGTTAAAATTCATTTATTTTAATCATGAAATTTGTTATTAGTTAAACAAGTAATTATGGCATATTATTATTTTAATTACAAAATCAAGATCATTGATGCATGTGCGACGGATTAAAAGGAGTAGGATTCTTTCTCCTTTTTTTTTTCCCTCTCCTTCTTTCCTATTTGAACGGTCACAGTTAAGCCACGTTAACATTTTATATTAATTTTGGGATAACTTGATATAGATCCAATTTTATGAGTCATTAGTAGAATTAGTCCACTTCATTGAAATAGGTCCAATAATTAAGATTCCACGTATGCTTATTTGTGGTTTGTACCATATTTACCCCTTAGGCTTACGAATTGTTATAAATACACAAAATTTCTTAATTATGGGATTATTTGTCATTTAACTAATCCCTTAATTGTAGGATTAGTTATAGCCATATAATCACCTCAATCCTCCTCTTTTTTGTCTTTTCTTTTCATGGGTGATATTTTTGTGTTCTTCCCTCCAAATTCATTCCTCTAATGGAGGTATATTATATCATATTTATATTTCTATGTTCCGCCATGTAGGTTCCTAGCATTTTTCTTCCAATACAATAGGTAGTTTATTTTTGTTTTGCAGGTAGATTATATTTGCTTTGTAGGTATAAAGCATTTTTCTTCCTATAAAATAGGTAGGTAGTTAATAGATTATATCGGTTTTGTTTTCTTCATAAATAGTAGGTAGTTACTAAATAATATTTTAGTTTGGGTATTTAAATATTCAAAATTTAAAAACTGAATAAATGTTAAAAAAATTAAAGAATTTAAATATTTTTAACTGAATGGGCAAAATTGATATCAAAATATGTAATTGGATAACTGGATTCAGTCCCAAAAACTACCTATGTTATTGGACCTATATCCAAAAGCCCCATTAATTTTTTATAGAAAAAAGAAAAACAAAATAGAAAATATGAGAGAAGTGGATGGAAGAGATGCCCCTTAATTCTCACACGTCCACATCGTTATGTTTCTGCTCTAATCTTCCAACTTAATTTTTTTTAATTTTTTTTTTTGTCACAACTGAGGAACTGATGACTTTAACAAGGGCAATATTGTAATTTGAAACCTATTCGCATCTTTGGAATAATGTTTATAGCATCTGGTAATGAGGTGGTAGGTTGGTAGCTGTTATTTAGTTTCATTTTTATATGTTAACGATAATGTAAGAAGAATAATCGAATTTAGAATTTCGAGTGAATGGATAAATGTTTTAAATTACTTAACTTATAAGCCTTTTGCTAAAAAAGTTAGAACCGTTCTTAGTTTATGTGTGTCATTCTTGTTCTTGAGCATGCTAATCTTCTTTGTATCAAACTTTATATCCATACAGTCTTATATTAAAGAGAGGAACCACGAGAACAATCGGCCCCAACCAAATCAAAATTTATGGCTGGGGCGGCAAAGTTTGATACAATACCATCCCAAATACGATTGGAATGAAGACTAAGGTCATGCTTAGCAAAAGCGTCTGCAACAAAATTAGCTTCCCTAAAAATATGCCGCCAAGAGATGTATTGGAATTTTGTCGCCAGCCTTCGAATCTCTACAATCGTAGCCTTCAAGTTCTAGGGAGCAGACCAACTACCAAGCACATAGTAGATGACTAATCTTGAATCTCCTTCCACTCGATCTTAGAAACACCTTCCCTTTTTTTAAGGTAAAAAAAAGGACCCTCCTTCAGTGCCATATCTTCTGCCTCGAAATCGTAGCTCCATCAACATTGAAAGAACCGCCACCCAAAACATTCCCTTATCATTTCTTAACACGAACCCAATAGCTACATTCTGAAGACTGACCAACCCATCAACATTAAGCTTTATAAAATTAGGGTCAGGCAAGTGATATTTTATGGAGTATTTATTTGTTGTTGAATTGTAATGTATGCATAAGTCAAAGGCAAATCCGTTCACACGAACACCATACGAAGGTGGGTAACCAAGCCTTTGTAGTATGGAAATTTGGGTCCCCTCTGGACCTTAATGTCCAGAGCCTAAAGACCAGGAAATTTGGGGACTTAGGTTGTGTGAAAGAAAAATCATAACCCTTAGTTTGTGTGAGGTAAGCTAGCGAGATGAGTTAATGAATATTATATAACTCAATTTGAACGCCCAAATTATCCAATTCTTGAGTTATGGACAGTGAAATGAAGATCTTTGTCCGCAATAAGGCATGTCGTGATACTGCTTGCCTCTGAAAATTGTGTTAATGGGCTAATGAGAGAGGGGGCCTAAATCAGCTTTGCAGTTTGTTTTATTTTGGGTCAAAGACCAAATTCTCTTTTGTACTGAATCAAAGTCCAATTCCGATTTGATAATTATATTTGTACAATGTTTAAATTTTTTTAATAGCAAATTATTATAAAGAATAATGTTTTACAATTCTTAAAAGTCTATTTGTATTCATTGAGAAATGTTTTAATTGACTAGAAGTTGTTTTAGAGAAGATATTTTTGAATTATAAAAGAATTTAAAGTACTTTTGTAAGATTAATTTTTTTATTTTTATAACAATTGGTTTTATGGATAACTTTTTAAAAAACTATCAGTTATTTAAAAATATTTTTTCTAACGAGTATTTTGTTATATAAAATCCAATTTCATTTTATAAATTTTTAATTAACAAATAATATTTTATCAATAGGTTGTTTATACCGTCGAAATTATGTGTGGTCTAATATCTTAATAGATATGAATATTAGGTTTTCATGCATCTCGGGTTCAAAATTTTCATCTCCTAAAGTATAATAATAATTTCGAACTCTCTATTAATAATAATAAATTAGCCAGTTAATAGTACGGTCCACTGTTCTAAAAATCCCAGCGATTGACCATCGCCATGATCAATGCCTAGGAATTTGAAAATTAAGAAATAGCGCCTAAACTTGCTGAGGCGCCCACCTAAACTGCCTAAACACCCGCCTAACCCATTCAGACCTCCCTGGACATCTGCCTAGGTTGCAACTCACTTAGATAGAAAATAAATAACTTTTCTTTTGCATTTTATTGTTTTCAATAAATTGTAAGAGGCTTATAGAACACTTAAATAAACACACATTATATATTTGCTTTCCATATTTTCATTATGTTCTAATACTTCATAATATATATGTCATTCTATTTTTTAGTTTATGTTGAAATTATATATATTTTAAGTATAAACAGACACTTATTTACACGAAATACAATAGATTTACTTAAATCCACTTAGTTCGTCTAGGCTCCGTCTAAGCGCTAGGTCCCAACCCGCCGCCCTAACTAGCACCTAACGTTTTTTATAACATTGGTATGGTTTAGTGGTATTCCTCTTTGTAAGTGTGAGGTCTTAAGTCCGATTATTGACAAAGGTGGATTTCAACTATACTATTAACTCATTATGAGACTTCACCCACTCACCCGCCTAACCCATTCAGACCTCCCTGGACATCTGCCTAGGTTGCAACTCACTTAGATAGAAAATAAATAACTTTTCTTTTGCATTTTATTGTTTTCAATAAATTGTAAGAGGCTTATAGAATACTTAAATAAACACACATTATATATTTGCTTTCCATATTTTCATTATGTTCTAATACTTCATAATATATATGTCATTCTATTTTCTAGTTTATGTTGAAATTATATATATTTTAAGTATAAACAGACACTTATTTACACGAAATACAATAGATTTACTTAAATCCACTTAGTTCGTCTAGGCTCCGTCTAAGCGCTAGGTCCCAACCCGCCGCCCTAACTAGCACCTAACGTTTTTTATAGCATTGGTACGGTTTAGTGGTATTCCTCTTTGTAAG